ATAACAAGAGAGAATATATCCCTTTAACATTCTGAATAAATTAAAAAATGTCCTCTCAAAGACTTATTATACTGCATCTATTCTAGTCACATTGGTCAAGATGTAAATGGATTTGGTGTTTAAGATGTGGAGGAGAGATGTTTAGGTGCAAGGTATGGGAATAAACCAAAGAACAGGTAAATAAGTTGTGTAAATACTGACTTTGATTAGTAAACAATAAAAAATTATTGTAGCAACATCTCAAAACATCTAACACGACGTTAAAGCTTGGGTGCAAATAAGTCTTAAAAATGTACAATGACTCTAAGCAAAGTGTCAAGTTAGCTACTAAGGTTTTTTACAACAAATGTAAAGTTTTTAATTGTTCATAACAAAGCCCTGATGTCATCTAGCACAAACATTGTGTGCAGACCTTTAAAAACAGACTTAGTGAAGTACTAACTGGAATTTAAACATAAAATTTAGGGAAAAAATTCTGATTATCATTGGAATTTATTTAAAAGTTTGGATTTATTTAATAATCTGAAACCGGCAAGGTTAAGTAACATTTAAGAGAATGGTATAAATAGTAGTAATTTCCATTTTATACAATGTTTATTACAATATTGGATACAGTAGATCTTTCTGCAACTGGAAAGTTGCCAGTTCGAACCCCAGCTCTGTCCATCTCAGTTGGCAAAACACTTCACCTGGATTGCTGGATTGCCTACTGGTGATGGTAAGGGTGTCCTTTGGTGTCTGTTTATGGGAGCCTTGCTTCTGTCAGTGAGCCCCAAGGCAGCTGTGGGTTGCTTGCCACTATCAGTGGTTGAATGACTGAATGTAGTGTGTAGCACTTCACAGGGATCATTGGCTTGGATCAAGGACTATATGCTTACATGCTATTTACCATGAACGTGGTTTTATCAAAAACACATAAAAAAATCAAGGTTCAAGCAATGAAACAGAAAAACATTTCTTTAAAACTGACTTAAACAGAAACTGTGTTAAAACTTTGAACTCCTGTTTTCTACCACTGACAAGAAATAAGAGTAACAAATCAGAATTAGGATTAATACTGATTTTGTCAGGTTAGCACTGTGAAAAAAAAGTTGTTCTCCACAGCTTCATTCTAAAAAGACATCAAATAAGTTTCATCTCTATGAAAACTTCCAATATTTAATGCACCTCTGATACTCAGCTGCAAAGTCAGAAAAGAAAACGTGTTTTCTGAGGGATGGGCAAAAATGATAAATACCATGAAGCAAGTTACAAGTTTACCAAGTGTAAGATTTTTGTTTCTCTCTTAATTAATTGCTTTAGTAAGAGGTTTTCGTTATAATAGTTTTAATTATTTAGATCTTTTTTATATAACAAATGTTACCAACATGTTAAAGTTAGAAGCATTTTTTTCCTTTCTCTTGACATGTAAGTATGGTTGATTTCCATTGCTACACAAACTGTTTTGTTTTAAGAATGCCTTCTTTGACATATTTCCTAAAAGGAAAAAAAACTGAATAAATTCAAAGCTCTGGCTAAATACTGAATACTTACAGTAATTGCTTTTCTGCTCCTTCCTTAGAACAACAGACTTTGAACTTCATATGCGTTTATAAGAAATTATCCTGTTAAAATCATCATCTTACCTTTTATGTCTTTAAACATGTTTGCATGCAACTATGATTTTGGTTTTTGGTTCTAGGAGGCATACATTTTAACTGCTTATTGGGATATTCCAATATACAACACTGATGATCTGTGCAAGATGCAAGACTGTTTGTAAGAACAATCTAAGCAGTTGTGGTAATTTTCCAAGATCATGTTAAATTTTAATTTCAGCCTTGCCTTTTTTCCGAGAAACAAATGAAGATTTCTCTTTTGTCTGTTCCACTAAATATTCAGTTTGAAAGGTGGTGAAGTTCAGAGCAGGGTCTCAGTGTTATGTGAAACTTGCCTGTCTGCTTATTTCCTCACTATAAAGGTGCAAGAGAACAATCAAATTCTGCTGCAGAAAATAAAGATCAAAGAAAATTGTTATGAATTAAGGTTTGGTATAAGGGTTTGCCCAGTTTTCTCCTAAGTTGTTTCAAGGATGTCTATTGAACCCCACACCCCCAAGCTTAAGATTTTATTCAAACTTTAACAGCTTGCATTTTCTGTCTCCTCAGCAACTCACGTAACAATAATTTTTCAAAGTCCAAACTATACCTTTAAGTCATACCAGTGAGTCAAAACGAGACAAGTGAAACAAAATTCTCTGTTTTTTTTTTTTTTTACTCCAGGGTAATAATTTTTGCATGTGATCATGTCAAAGCTGTAGGTGTGTTGACCTTACTGAGGTGAGACATGATGGCCAACAGGCCTTCTAGCTCGGTCACTGTGGTTGGTGGTCACAGCAGACCACACGGAGTGTTTCACAGATCCACTGGATCAATATGAAGGTGGTGGCATTGCTTCAACAATGCTGCAGATTTTACCTGGTTCTTTGTTTAATCCTAAATCTGTTTACTACTCTTTTACATGTATTTTCTCTATGAAACCACCACCATCTAACAGAAACTTGAACATGAAATGCATTCAGAAGACACTGAAAAGTTTCAACTGTTATTAGATCTGCCTAATGGAAAGATATTGGTTCTGTCCTCAAACACTTGCAATTGACATATTCATTATTTTTTTTTTTTTTGCTTTCTATTATTTTCTTTAAATCCACATAACATTCAGCATAAGAAAAATTTTACAGTGAAAGAAAAAGGCAAAAATAACATATAATAATACACCATAGATATAACTCTCTATGATAAATTTACCTATCTGGTTTTAATGTTTATTACTCTTTTGGTTTTACTTTTTTCTCCAAATGGTTTTCTGCAATAGCATTTTTCTCCAACAAACTTCATAGCCTATAATAGAACAGCTCTACTTATATTTTTTGACTAAATGGCACTACTTTAGATTCAATTTACCAATCATACTGTATGAATTCTGAGACCAATTGTCAAACTGATTGTATAGGGGTCTCAGCATAAACTTACGAACCAATGCAAGCCATAATAAGAAAAATATTTCTTTCCCTCTCTTTATAGTATGACCAAAAGTATATGTGACTGAACAGAAGAATGTTTGAGAAGGATAATTTATATTGCAAAGAACTGCACTGGAGTTTTTAAATAATATTTTAGTGTCATCATAATTTTATCCAAATAAATTTGGATTACAATATCATATTTTTTACCTCTATAGAACAAGTTAATTTCTCAGAGATACATTTTCAAAAGTGATCTGTTTAAAATAAAAATGCAGGTCTAAAATATGTTAAAGCAGAGTATATAGAACAAATGCAACCAGCTACACAATTGAACTTTAAAAACACAAAGTAAAATAAAAGATGGAGGGATATGAAAATGAAAAAAAACAAGTTATTAATATTTATAGTGTATTTAAATGTCTTTCTTTGGTCATATGTTTTTTTATACTAATTATTAACTCATTATTATGTGATATAATGACGATAGAGACTGAACTGAAATAAAGTTGTTGCTTTTTTTCTTGTTTGAACTTTTGTTTTATTTTGTCTGTTTGCATTAAATTCATCATTATGTGTAAAATAGTGCTTTAGCATTTCCTGATTTTGATATCGGAATGTTTTTTCCACTCCCCACACAATTCTAACAATCTGGGGAAAAAAGAAAGAAAAAGGTATTTTGTGAAAATGTTCATTATTACTTATTCAGGTGTTTTTTTATGAAAAACAAATCTGCAAGGTTTACTGTGAGATATATAGGTGAACACTAGATGGCGGCAGAGTACATGACATCCATGCAGTGACACTCACTTCATTTATGTCAAAGGGAACCCCATCCAGATGCGAATTACGTTTTAATCTACACTGTTCTTTATTTTGGTTTTATGATCAGTTAGCTATTATAAAAAATCTACTTGAGTTTATTAAGGCTTGCCCTTTGTGATGTATTTTATATCTTTTTATTCTTCTTAAAATTTCGTCTCTTAATTCTGTATAAGTCGGACCAGGACCTGTGGATTGGAGGCAGGGAGGGCGACCAGGAAGTAGGAATGTGGCTCCCTGTGTGATGTGATTGTTAGCAGAAATGTGTCAGCCTCAAAGCTCACTACCACCGTGCCACCACCACCTCTGCTCTGAGCCACCAGCCTTTCACACCAAGTGGGAGCTCTCTGGGCGAATATGCGTGATGGTGCGCACGCGTTTGCGCGCAACAATAGTTGTCTAATTGCGTTGCCATGGAAGGCCCGCATATCTTATCTTGGTGACCACTAGTGGAACAAGGGTAAACTCATTCACGAGGTCGGGTGTGGGTATGAAGCAGGGAGCTGAGAGGATAATGAGGCGGCCAAAAAGGGAAGAGAAGGATGTCAGGTCGCAGAACCATGGGTGGGTTTGGGGGGGGTGAAACAAGGCATTATTAGGACAATTTTCAACAAATCTACGCAGTTCGATGAGTAAAAGAAAGGAAATCTGGGTAAAAGAGGATTTTGGTGGTTGATGTTACGCATAATCACAAAAACCACCGTTTTAATTTGCAGTTACACAAAAAACAGCTATGTAAGCCTACAGTATTTGCTTTTTTTTTTTCTTTCTTTGCGCAGACATTTGCGCATTAGGCACCTTTCCCTCCAAAAAAGTTGGGATTACTTTGTGATTTAATAATATATTCATATATTAATTGTTCACAACAGATAAGTCGTATTTCCTATTGAAATGTGGTAAAAATATTTTGATCAGTCACAATATTTGTCACTGGAATTTTAGCAACTGTGGGTATTCAAAACAGCAAAAGGACCCAAAGTTCATATAAAACAACTCAGCAGTTGAATGCCACAATGCGACCACCTGAGTTATATCCCAATATATGTTTTCTCATCAAAATGACTAACTTTTCCAATCTGCAATTGTTCTCCAGCAAGATGCCCTTCTCGTCTCACCCCCTTGCGTAGATCCTGTGTGCCAAACTGTGGCTGCTCTTTTTTTTCCTCCTCCACAAGTCTCACAGTTTGGTTTGTGGATACAGCCCATCTGGGCACACTGACTCAGAGGTCCTGGCTGCGCTGGTGGTTAGCCGCACCAGTCCTTCTCACCTGCTGCTACGCTCAGATTCACACTTCCAGAGGAAGCATCAGATCAAACAGTCAATCGGAGGTAGGAGAGGAGGGAAAATTATTTTAGATGCGGATAGACAAAAATACAAGTTTGGATTGAAGTTTTTAACATTTTTGTTTAGATTTGTTTTTGGCATGCGATTAGATTAGTAGATGTTTGCTTCTTTAGTCTTGCTTAAGCGTTTTTTCAACCTTTATATTATGCAAAGTCAACAGAATGTCAAAGATTATTCTCAATGCTGCAGATTTATCATTTATCATTTAAACACAACAGAAGAGCTGTCATTGAGTAATGCAGTAAATGCTGCTTAATTCAAGTCGGTTCGGCAAACTGCATACGATTTTCTTTCTACGTGGACGTTTTCACGGAAATAACTCCGCTCAGTATTAGAAATATTAACTCAGATTTTGCGTGACTTCACTTTGATAATATATAGCCTATATAGAATATGGGTTAATTATTGAACCCTATACACCCTGCATATCGTGGCAGATTTTCAAAATTTCCCAAAATATCTAATTTTATACTCACCAAATAAAACTCAGCACATCTTGAAACCCCCATTTTTATGCTTTTGTTTTTTGTTTTTTATTTTTCATCGCAGTGTTAATTGATTTCAAACTTGGAATGTTGTCGTTTGGAATGTCAGAGTGTTGGGGATGAAGTTGATTTTTAAAGAAAAAAATCTGAAAGTTTAATATTCCAAATGACTCTTTTAGGAAAGATATTTGCGTCATATTTTCTTAATATAGCTGATATTTTTATATCAACAAGTCACTTTTGAAACATCTAAAATAGCTTACATAAATGCATTTATTTATCGACTTCAGTTTCCAAAAAAAGACAATTACAACATTGACTAACTTAGAATTGCGGGTTTTTTAAGCATTAGGTATTTTTATCCTCTGCTCGTTTTTTTATAATAATCAATTGTTTACAATAATCACACACCCACTTTAGCGTGTCCGAAAACAGCAAAGCATTGAGTGATATTTTTTTCTTTATTAATTTATTTTTTGTTGCAGTCGTTTTTATTTGGGTTGTCCTGACTGTGTTATAGGTGTGTATACACTGCAAAAACTATATAGAAATAAGTAAAATATTTCTCAAATTAAGTGTATTTAGCCTTGATTTGGGTAGGTAAATAAAATTATTTGCTAAAGGAATGAGTATTTTTACTCTTAAAATAAGATAATAAGATAATATGCACTTCAAATAAGACAATGCATTTTTTTTCTTATTTTAAATGTAAATTATCTTGTTCCAGTGGCAAAGTGTCTCACTTACCACCTCAATTCAAGAAAAAAAATCACTTATTTGAAGAAAAAATACTTATTTAGATTACATTTTTTGCAGTGTCTTCGTTGCCTTCTTAAGGCTTTGATTTATTTTTAATTTATTTTGCAGTTTTATCTTTGCCGCATTTAAATCGTATATCCAAATGACTCAAATGTCTTAACTGGTCTTAATTAAAAACTTAGCACCCCAGATTGTTTGGGCAATCTCAATTAATTCTTAGTTCCCAGATGGAACCTTATAGTCCCATTAAAAGGTATTAATTTATAACCTTTTCACATATCGACTTCTATCTATTCCTTGTTTTGTCTCGATTTTCCATCCATATAAACAACCACTACCGATTTTTTTTTACTTCGCTCAAAATGAGTTAACTGAAGCCCGATTTCCTCATCTGATGAAAATATTGTTATATCATTGGTCAAGGCGATTGGAGATTAGATTGCTGCAAACAGTAGTGAGTTCTTCGCAAACATGTTGTGTTTGTGCGGACGCGTTTTCCAGTGTGTCCAAGTTTACATTTAAAGGAGTTTGAAATAAAATTGAAATATTTTTATGTTTCCATAAATAAGCCCAATTTAATATTTGTAAGTGGTTGTTATTGTCTATCTGAATTGATATATAACAAAAACAAACAATGGACAATTCATGTCAACCGTTTCTAATTTATAATCAAATCATCTATAAAATAAAGCAGTTATGGAATTCATAAAAAAAAAATAAACAGCTAATACTAACTTTTTACAACTTAAGATAAGGCAAGTCTAAGTTTAAAATATTAATAATAGAGTTTTGGTGATTGTAGTGACAGACATCCTAACCTTACTATATACAATTCAAAGTTCTGCATTATATGAGGTTTGTTCAAATGTATCAGTAGTTAACCCTAAAATCTGATTCATCGGAGCATATATATATATATATGTATATATATTTTTTAATAGTGACATTTCTCCAATCTTCTAAGTCAAAGCTTAAAATATATAAATAAATATATAAATAAAAATATATAAGTAAAGGTGGTCATTCCCTTTACTTCCCCTCGAAAGCCACTATTCTAATTTTCACAAAAAAAAGAAAAGAAAACATTCTTTGAAAGTTTTTACTAGTCAACTAATAACCCCAATATTTATAGATTCATTTATTTGAATCCGCACTATTTCAGGTGATGCTCTGATTCCAACTAATCTAATGTTCCATTTATTTATTATTTACTGTGTAATAAAATGATCGCCAAACATGAATTTGATGTTGAAAGTGAACAAATAAGATCTGGGTTGAGGACCTGGAAGGAATCATTATTTTGGTCACACAAACTAACGCTACTCCTCTCTCTCTCTCCTCCCCTCCTATATTCCTCCTCCTCCCTCAGGGTTCCTTGCGCGTCTCCGATTAGATTTCCGCTTTGCGCTGTTTGGTCACCGATGCGCAGTGGAGAGTTCCAGAGCGAGCGCACAGACAGGAGCGACAATAACGAGAGAGAGAGAGACAGAGAGAGAGGGGAAGGGAGGAGAAGGAGGTGTCGGATCTGCTCCATTGGGATTCGGCTCAGCTCTGCGCTAAAACGCTATCGGCGGACTCGGCTTACAAAAACGGAGCTGAGCTGTAAAACGCTTTAAATGACCGCGAGCGGCGTTTCGTAGTTGTGTTCTTCTTCGATCAACACTCAGGCTTGGATAAAATCTAAACAGTCTAACAGGACTGAAGGGGAGCATTCATGGGGAGACTCGTCTCGCAAAACGTCCGGATTATCTGACTGGAGCGTTTGGACGTTTCTAAACCACTGCATCCAACATCTAGATCAAGACGTGGGTTCTTTTTTTTTTTTGTTTTGGGTAAGCATAGGCTACGCTGCTCTGATCGGACAGGGTAGGGGGGGGGCATTTTAATCTTGTTTGGAGCCAATGCATTGCATTAGAGGAATGTAGCCATCTGTTTGAGGTGTAGACATTAAGCAATCCATGCATTTCATCTTGAGCTGTGCTGCCGGCTGTGAACCGAGTAAATCAATCAAATCCATGCTCTGATTGTATGGGAAATTTGCAGCATTAAAATGCATTATGATCTCCAAGATCTGACATTTGGGAAAGATTCAGTGCGCATCGTTTGGATATAAATAGAGAGTAGATATGGCATGCGTAAAACCAAAAGTTGTGTTTGTAACTCATGTGCAAAAGTCAGTTGTTTACTTCAATGCATCAAAAAAAAGAAAGAACTACACAAGTAAAAATAATCCTGATAATCAGAGATGCTTCTGTTTACATCTCAAGAAAAGAACTGAGCTTCCTCCCACCCTTACATGTTTTCCATTGGTCTTCCAGCTGGGTCTGTAGAGTTTTTTTCTGAAGTTTTGGTCATGGCGGACCAGGAGGAGACGTTTGCAGTTCAGAATTCTCCGGTTGGTTCGGATTCAAGGGAATTACAAAGCGACAATAAACCAGAGAAACAGAACGGAACATCGAGCAAATCCCCATCTTCGCAGACAACATACATCCAGCAGGTCAGAGTGCGTTTCTTTGTGTTTTTGGGCCCTCTGTCTGACAGCTTCAAGCACTTCACACCTGTTTTGTTTTTTTGCTTTTTTGTATGTTTGTTATGACATATTTTATTCAGTGTGGTAATCCCATTGGTTTCTATCATATTGAAACTCTTCGATAATAACTAGAGTTTTCTCCCTCATGTTAACATTTTCATATTTGGATCTTTGGGTCAGCAACTTTTTAGATACAATTTTTATTGTTTTTTCTCACCATGACTTTAGCTTTCGTGGTGTAACTTTATACTGAGTACTGAAAAAATGTGCCGTACTTTGCGACTTTTAAATTACACCTTACAGACTTTAAGAAGAGTGAGCCGTTTTTCCTTTTTAAGAGCCTTCTGTGTTGAGGCGTTTCAATTTGTTTAAAACTAAAACCATCGCATTCTAGCCGTTCTCTACGAATCACTGCATTTTCCATTATATTAGAGCTTTACAGATATTATTTTTCCTAATTTAAAAAAGATTTTTTTTTTTAATTAGCCTACTGTCATTTGATCGTCCTATTCTGTCAAAAAAAAAAATTAAGTAGAGGTTAAACACGCCCTATATATATTTGTGGTTTTATGTTCAATATCTGCAGCTGACAGTTCTATTTTCGATACAAATTTTTATGAAATAGATCCCACCAAAAACCTGTCAATATAACACACTCTTACTTTTCCATGTCAGTAATCTACTGTCAGGGAGGGATTTCTAAAGTAAACCTTTTGCCAGCACATTAAGCTTTAAACGCGCATGAATGGTGCGCGTAATGTGCCAGAAGTGGCCCCGCCAACACCAGACGTTTCTTTTTTTATTTAGACTCCAAAAGTTCTGTAATTTCATACGTTTTTGACCCATAAACACTCCGACCGAATTAAGGTTTAGTCATTTGAAACGTCACGAAAATTATTTACACGTTTTTCTATCTACGTCTTTTATTGTTTTTATTTTTTGACCATTTTTTTGTTATCAAATTCGTCGTCCTAGTTCAGCTTAATAACTTTTTCTCTTTTTTGGCACTGGGGGTGGCTGTTATTGCATCATGTTTATGCGTGTTTGTACATTTGTAAAGGGAATGGAAGGCATAAAAGTTTACCTACACGAAAGGGAACTATGGATGAAGTTTCACGAAGTGGGCACAGAGATGATCATAACCAAAGCCGGACGGTAAGATCATTTGAATGTTATTTTCTGTAACTTCTTCTCTTTGCTTTTCTTCCATATTTGCATGCATCTTTTGTTTTTAATGTTTTTTGAAATATTGGTTTCAGGAATAAGAAAAATATGAACAAATTAAACCAAAGCAGCACATCTGGCAGACGCAATGTTTGGTTTGAAAAAAAAGAAAAGAAAAAGAAGAAAAGGAATACTATACTCATATATTTTAGTCTGGGTGGCCTTTTCTCTGCTGGAATGCAATAACACTAAAAAACCAGCCTGAGACAGCAAATACTCTAAACTGCATCTGGTTCACAAAAATGTTTTATTGATGGTTGCCCCCCACCACACGCCCCCTCACAGAGTGAAATATATTTTGCCTGCAGATTTGTTTTCTGTGTCCCAGATCTTGAGCTAAGCCATGACATCCGGAGGAGAGGCTGTATGAGTGTCTGCCGCTGTCCGGCTCACACTGCATCCCAGTCAAAACAGCTCGCAAGGCGTGGTGTGAACATACACGCATGCAGACCCGCCGGTGTCTCCCTCTGCAGAGAGCGACTCACACGTGTTCTGCAAATGATTCAAATCAATAATTTATTATAGCTGCATTACACCACAGTGAAGGCAGGTCTCAATTTCCCCCTCACAGCTGCAGAAAATCCCCATTGCATCCCCGTCAGCCATTCAAGCTCTGCTTTATTTGGAAAAATGTGTTTTCTTTTTTTACTTTTCCACGGCTTTGCTCTTGACTTGCTGCACTAAAAATAATAATAATAATTCTGGGGTATATTCAACTTTAGCTGTTAACATTATTTTATTTCCAATCAAGAGGATTGTAATTATAATGATCTGCACATCACAGCCTTCCCTTTAAACCACTCAGCACTTATTCGATATTTACATAAAGTGCGCTCTGCACTGTAAAACAAGCAGTGATTCAAACATAGAAGTAATTAGATGAATAAAATAACGCCACATTAAATGTGCAGCACAATAAGATATTTGCTGGAAAACAAAAATTAAAACCAACATGTGGGGCTAAATATACTTTTCAGCTACTTTTTTCATAAAAAAAAAAACATTCAGAAATTTTTGAAAGCAAATTAACTTTGCATGTTAATTTCAAGATTCGTGTTTGGTGAACCCTTATTCTCATGTGTGATGTATACTAGCTAATATTAAAAATTAATTAGATTTAATATGATTCTGTATCAATTATAACAATTGTGGTTTGGAGATTGGAGTAAGAATAGAACTCCACGTCCTGCATACTTGTGGTACTAATACTACATTCAAACTTGTTGGTAAGATTTTTACCCTGTAGGATATATTACTAATGTATGGCAAATCTTACTTTATGTGTCACCTTTGTAAAGTTTAAATCTGGTTTTAACTAGTTTAGTAATAGTGCAAACACTGCAAAAAATTGAAATCTAAGAAAGTTTATTATTCTTAAAATAAGAGCATTTTTTTCTTGAATCAAGCAGTTGAGTGATACACTTTGCCAATGGAATAGGGTAATTTACATTTAAAATAAGAATAAAAAAAAACAACTGTAGCCTCTTATTTCAAGTCCATAATATCTGATTATCTTATTTTCTGATACTTTCAGAGAAAAAAAATGCTTATTCCATTGACAGATTATCTTATTTACCTGCTCAAATTAAGGGTAAATACACTTAATTTAAGAAATTTGTAGATCATTTTTGTAGTGAACGCTCAAGTCAAACTTGCCAGATGACTTAGACTGAGGTAGGCCTACATGTTGCCAGAAAAAGATTTAAGGTGCCACCTTCCCAGAATATGCTCAGAAAAGCTTCCCCTCATTTTTAATATTTAAAGTGTTAGTTAGTGCAAAAACATTATTTTGAGATTGTTTTTGAAAGTGGGGGCCAACCGTAAACAGCAAAGGTTGATCGGCATGAACCCCTTATATGCCTAAGGGGACCAACAGAGGTGTCTGTTGTGGGGGATCCTCTGCCTCCATAACCTTGTTTGTGGGCATCAGTAGCAACAGATTTGAAACCATTGAGGAGCTTGAAGGTTTCTGATGCAAGTTGGTGAAGACAATTCTGAGTCAAAAATGTTATATTCATTCTGTTAATATGATCTTTATGACTAAAATTTTGTGTAAAACTGAATACATTTCAATAATTGGAAAAAGTGATCTCAACATCTTTTAGAATTCAATTAATTTGAAGAAAGACTGATGGGAAATGTTAACATCCCTGAATAATCTCTGTTTGTGAAAATTATATCTCAGTCGCTACTTTTGCCCAGTTGTAAGTCATTTATAGACCCATAGTTGACAAAATAGTGCGTGACTAAATAGTGCTCTATAAGTGCTTTAATTCATCATATAGGTATTACATAGGGCATTCTATGGGGAAAATGTATTCTTAGCTAAATAATTGTCATACATAAATATACCATCAGTCTATTTCATCTCAAGACGGATTTTGCAGCTTTGTTAATTAAAACTTATTCTTTGTTGAGTTCATGGTTTTGTCATTATAACAACACAAACTGCTTACAGTGTTCAGTGTCTTTTAATTGTTTCATTTAGGCCTATATAATTTAAGAAACCTTAATTCAAACTTGTTTAAATACAATTTTCAATAACAATGCTTAAACTCTACAAGTATATTTTCAGTGTGGATCTGCCTTTTTTTAGTATGGCAGATAAACCTACCCCATATCTCATAACTTAAAACATAGAAATGCATGTACAGTGAATTTTTTTTCCAGATGCAACTCACAGATTCTTAAAAAAAAAACCATCCGTTTCCTATCCAAGCTAAATAAGGGCTTTCATATAATTCAGCTGCTCCCATGCAGGGTTATGTATGTGTTATAATTGCAAGTCCACTCATGGAAAACTAAACTCTGTCTGTGTACTCTTGTTTTATATACATTGTAAAAGTTGTGGTTTTGTTCATTCAAGTAGAATCCTAGAGGGTTTTTTTTGTTTTGTTTTGTTTTCTCTGCTTTGACAATTGTTTGCATGTTCCATGCACGTTTTTGTAGAAATGCCAATGTTTGTTCTCCACAGGAGAATGTTCCCCAGCTTCAAAGTGAAAGTGACCGGATTAAACCCCAAAACGAAGTATATTCTCCTAATGGACGTAGTTCCAGCGGATGATCATCGATACAAATTTGCCGACAATAAATGGTGAGTAAGAATATATGTAGCTATATATATATATATATATATATATATATACACATATATATATATATATATATATATATATATATATATATATATATATATATATATATATATATATATATATATATATATATATATATATATATATATATATATATATATATATATATATATATATATATATATATATATATATATATATATATATATATATATATATATATATATATATATATATATATATATATATATATATATATATATATATAGACAAAGGGGAGAGTTTCCCATCTTATACTAGTTAGAGTTGACTCCAGCAGGAAATTTTTATGTTGCCCTGATGGACGAGAATCGGAAGCGAACATATAATTTCCTGCTGAATTATGATCTGCCTGTTTTTTAATTGTTGCCAAGAATTACAGTCAGCACGGGGGAGACATGTTTCTGTTGGATTTCTTCTGGCGATGGATTCATACTAATGGGTTTTTTCCTACAATTGCAGTGGCCTGAAACGAGACAGCCCTCCTCTTTTATCCTTTGGATAAATTCTGTTTGTTTTTTACCCTGGTTGATCTTCGACCCTGAAGGCAGCAGCGCTTTGTTTGGGTCAATGCTTTTAAAGGAGTGGGGGCTTTGAGCGGATAATCACATGCCAATACTGCAGATAATGAGCCGAGTAAAACAATATGTAGAACTAATTGAGACATATGTCTATACATTGTAGAGTAAATGGGGTCACTTCATTTATATAAGTGCAGAATGTCATGCCAAATTGTGCGCACTAATGCAAAAACAGTTCAGTTTAGATCTTAACTTTAAATCCCAAAATTATATTTTAAGTGTTTCAAATTAATATGGCTCTCTCTGAAACCTAGAAATCTTTATCACCTTTTCCAGTCCATTAGGTCCCATCTCCTGTTTAGATGCTCGCTTAATGCGTCGCGCCTGCTGTTGTCCCCCTATGCCAGGTCTGTGACCGGGAAGGCAGAGCCCGCTATGCCAGGGAGGCTCTACGTCCATCCGGACTCCCCAGCCACAGGAGCGCACTGGATGAGGCAGCTGGTGTCCTTCCAGAAGCTGAAGCTCACCAACAACCACTTGGACCCGTTCGGACACGTAGGTGCCTGCCTATATCATTCTGTTCAAGCTGAACGTAAAATAAAAGAGAGAAGCTTTTATGCGCTGGATGCGGCTTTTGCACTGCGGTGTTGTTACCGGGAAACTTTCCACGACTGCTGCTTAGAGCATGACTTATTTGGAACCAAGAGGTTTTATATGAACTGGTGTAAAATCAGACGTTTTGCTTGGTAAGAGCAGATTTTAAGTGTTATTGTGGGTCACACGCGCAGTTTTTTAAAGCTTTGTGTTTTACTATGCGTAAGTCGACAAATAAAATATAGGTTTTTAGCATTTGTTGTTTTATACTTACAAAATAGATATTCCACAAAGAGTACATTTAATATTAGACCACAGTTATGCAGAATTTCACTGATTTTATAATAAAAAGAACTTCCTAAATACATTTATTTTTAGTGTTACTTAAAATACTAGAAACACTGTTTATGTTATTACACACTTTTTTTATCTTGTTGCTTTTTCTGGGGCATTATGAATTAGATTATTGTGTCAAAATGAAAGCAATCATGCAAAAGTGATCCTGTTTATTATTCGTAGACCTCATACTTAAATTTCTGTGTTTTTCAGTTAAGTAAATATGAAATAAGCAATTAAGTTGTTTTTTTATTATTATTATTTTAATTTATTTATTTTGTGTTATTGAAAAATCCCAGAACATTAGAAAAAAAAAAACATTTTTATCCGTCAGTTTGTTAAAGTTTGTTGTCTCTCAAAACGTATTTAAACGTATTAGGTCTAAAAAAAAAAAAAAAAAAAAAAAAAAAAAGTGAAACAAAAGAAGATATTATTCAAGGTACAATTTTAAGTAGAGACAAACAGAACATTTCTTTGAAAAATTTCTGTTAATTTAAGGACATCTTAAAGTTTAATAATTTTTACAAGTGTATCCAAACATATGCTTTTGTCCAGGGGCGGTAGGGGTCTTAAGCTGGTGTTCCATTTTTTAATGATGTCCTTTCAGCTCATATTATTACACATTTGACTATATTTGCACATTTAAAATGATGACCCATCAGTTATTTTGTTCCATAATTCAAATATTTTGAATATGTTTTAATATAGCAATATTGTTTGTAAATTTGAAATTTCAATCATTTTTGCCTTGCAAGAGACATAGGTATATCTTCATATGTTTTAGTCCCAGCTATACAGTAGGGGAGCCAGCTATACGGTGTGTTCTAAAAAGTGTATGTTTTACACAACTGATTAAAATGCCAAAAAATGTGAAAGTCTCTGAAAGCCATTTAGTGGTTATATATTATACTTGTGCTTTTTTGTAAAAAAAAAAAACAAAAAACATTATGGGTTAAATATGGCTACGATTTATTCATTCATCCCCTTACAAACAAAACCAAAAAACACACTATTGACTTCATGAACAAAGTGTGCAATGAGCAGCAGGCTTTCATGCAATGTTGACTTGATGGGTACACTAAGGCTTAATTAGCTCTCTTGTTGGAAATACTCAGTTAATTATAAACATTTTTGTCAGGAACAGACTGTGCTAACAAGGTGAAAGTAATTAAAAGGTTGTAAAAAATAAAAATAAAAAGATATATCACCGTTCAAGGAACAGAAGACTAAATACGCTTATTAAAAGTTTAAAATAGTTCAAATCAAAATTAAGAGGTTTTGTGTTTTATTTTATGTTTCTTAAATTTGTGATTAACAGATACAATAATTACAAACAATAATAGGTTCTGCTGCTCAAACGGATTTTAACTGCTAACAGGTCCTATTGTCTCATGTTTGGATGTGTTCGCAAGTGGAGACTGCTCCAGTCTTTTCGGTTACCAAAACAAATCATGAGCCAGTGTCTATCCACATGGTACCTACAGAGATTTCTTACCCTGCCAATTCCCAGCTGGAGAACTTAAACTGCAGCTCACTGAGCCATATTGCACAATTTTAGGTTAAAGTGTGTTTCATGATTGGTCACAGTGGTTCCTGACTCACCCACTTTCTCAGTACTGTGGGACTCATCAGTGAAATGCTGGTGGCTGGCCAGAAAATGCATGCTCCATCGGTTTGTTGGTCCAGCTGGTTGAAATAACTTAGCAATGATTTATTTTCTCTTGCAGGGATGGATGAGGCCAATATATAGCCAATGTATAGATCAGTCCAGACCTGTTCAGGCTTGAAGCTTGGGATTTTTTTCTCCCCTCTTTATGGAAATATTTCTTAAATAAGATAACTTTAAGTGAACTTAGGGAGCTCATTGGAACAAAGAAGGTCTGATTCTGATGGTGCAACATGGAATTGAGTTGCATGAAGATTTCCTCTTTGCTTTCTTAAAACTTTGAATAGAATTTAATTTTACATAAATGTTTTGTAGGTAAATGATAGGATATTTAGACATCTTTGCAGATGATACAGGTTGTGTGAAATTCAAAATCGATAAACCGAGGCATGTTGTCATTGATACTGTTTCTTCATGATTGCATTATTCTTAGGTCTCTAATAAGGGAAATGTATCTATGCTTTGCTCTCCTCAGAAATCGATTTATAGTAATCTAAAAACTGAACATAAGAGTACATATTACTCACATACTTTGGTGCTATGTGTTTTGGCTGGTCTGTTAATTCCAGAGATATTTTCAGTTTTAAAATGTTCTTTAGAATAGATAATGTACTTCTGCATTGATTTACCTCAGTCAACCTCTGCTAAATAAATAAAAATAATTGATTAATCCACTCAGTTTCTGCATCATTTCAAAAGGAATTTTATTTAGAGATGTTATTCCTTGTTATTTATCCTACCTTGTAAATCAAAGAAACAGTTAAACCCAATGTGGAGCAACATAAACCATTGCTCTGCAGTTGCTCCGCGATAGAAGCAAATTCCCAAACAGTTTCTATTTCAGTGTTTGAATTTATAAATATCTTTTTTTTTTGCCTAAAGTTTCATACCAAGCACAACTTTTTTCCTCCTTTGATCTTCATCTCGGCTCCCAGAATACCTCACGGCGTTATTAATCACCTGAGCTCGCGTCCCTGCCTTCCCACACATGTTTGGGCCAACAGGGTGGAGTGTGAGGACCGCACTGTTTATGTTTGAATGGCAGTGTGTGATGAGCAATAGATGCTGGTGTACAAAGCCCATTGATTCCCTCGGGTGGGGGTGGGTGTGCAGTAACTCTCTGATGTTGAGATACTTGAAAGCGAAGGGCAGCCGCATGAGACCCAAAGTGATCCCTCACTATCATTAAATAGTATCATCCAGAGGCTGAGAAGGGGGTGAAGAACAAGAACCAGTGCAGTGAGCGTAGGCCACAGAGACTACTCCTGAGCTGGGGTCCCAGTGGGTGGTCTGCCTGCAAATACACCCTTTCTGCCACAGCTCTCTCCATGGGAATTGAGACGTGACTTGTAATATGTGTGGGTAGTGATTTTCAACTTTAAATGAAGAAATCAGTGTGTTATGATTGCATATAAGCCTTCTACAAAGTTTCTTTCTCAGTCCTTGGAAAGTTAGATGCAGTTTGGTCATTGATTCGTCATTAAGAGAAAACTGATTGTTCCCGTTTTAACAATGCAGAGTCCTGCACTTAATTACTGACATTGTAATAATGATTTATTGCTCTAACTCAGAACACTCAGGGTAAAAGTAATTTGCATTACAGGTTCTACGAGGTGTTTGACAATTTCTTCTAATATAGATTGAACCCAAATATGTGACAAAATTGAACTGGGAGTATCTAATGAACAGCTGTCAACAATAAAAGCCCTTTTCTGGTTTAAAGGGGATTTTCTTTGTGGAATGCCGCAGGATGCCTCCTCTGGTACTAGAGGTCAGGGCAGACCCTTGTCTCCTCTCATGCTGGCTGTGAAAGGCAGGTACAAAAACAGTCTTAAAGATAAGAGATAGGGTGACATGCCTGCAGGTCACTGGATGGTGGGGGTTGTTAGATACAGAAAGAGATGAATAAAGAGGAAAGTAAGGGGGAGGCCATCTTTTTTATATTTAAATCAGATGCAATTTGATCAGATTTTATAATGTATTCTATTTTCTTCAAGACTGATTCTGAAAGCTCCGGTCAGTGATAACATGTAACCAATAGTTCCCTGGATGATAGGTTTTCGAAGTAGAAGTTCAATACTCAAGTTCAGCTGTAAGTTCCATTCTAATTCAATAATTGGTGAAAAAGAGGGAGGATATTAAAGATATAATATCACAGCAATATCACAGCAATATTCAAATAATATGGAGCAAATCCATCAACCAATCCATGGATCACTTTCATACAATCAATGTGCTGAAAAAAACATGAACAATGTTTGAAAATAGCAATAAAACCAGTAAAGAAACATATACACAGTCTATATTAATGATGCAAAATATGTTATCCAATCATACTTAACATTTAAGAAAAAGAAAAACTCTAAATAAAGCATTATAATAAAAAAAAAATGTTGGTCTTCTAAATTTAATTAAATTCCTCTTTGAAAAAGTATTTTCCAGATATTATTTCAAAAATTTAGATTTTCAAACCCCTCATATTTTTTTTTGGTTTCCAATCAATCTTAATATATTATATTACATTCTTTCAATTTCTTTATATTGAGACCAGAAAGACATTAATTTATTGGGTAATATTACATTTGAAATGTTCGCCTCTATACCAGACATTGGTCAATATGATCGATATGACAATGATAAAATGATTAAACAGGCTTATAAAGGGAATAGGTTAAGAAGATCTTTTCGCCTCTGTAATTATTATCAAATACATGATTTCGCTTTTATTCATTTTATTATTATTATTATTATTTTGCCATTGTTGTTTTCAGAAATATTAATTTTCCTCCGATACATGTTGTCATGCAAAGTCGAGCCTAATGCAAGCCTGTCTTCATTCCAGATTATCCTGAATTCGATGCATAAATACCAGCCCAGGATTCATATTGTGAAAGCAGATGAAAATAACGGCTTTGGCTCCAAAAACACGGCTTTCTGTACTCACGTTTTCCCTGAGACAGCCTTCATCGCGGTGACATCCTACCAGAACCACAAGGTAAATGTTTTTTTTTTTTTTTTTTTTTTTTTTCTGTTTTCTCGCATTTTGTCTTTTTATCCCCCAGTGTGTTTCATAAATAGCTTGTTTTTTGGGATTTCAAACAGCAAATATATTGGCTTGTTTTTGTTTTTATCGCGTTAAATACATCCTCAGATGTGGATGCATAATTTCAACGCATTCTCACTCACAACTTGTTAAATATTTACGCAACAATAATTCAGCCTTTAAAGGTTTTATTCCTATGTGAAGTTATTGAAACTTGGAGGTAAAGTCTTCTCAGCTTTTGCTTTAGACTGAAGGAGAGGAAAAAACGAAAGCTGCCTGCGATTCTTGTTGCTTGCAAAAAAGACATTGATATCACAACTAGTCCAGAAACGAGGAGAAAACAGAAATCAAAATAGACAAAAAAAATAAAATAAAATATAATAATAATAATAATAATAATAATAATAATAATAATAATAATAATGACCCCTATGAGACTTTTAGAAAGTCGGTGCTCTTTGTGTAAAGAAAAGAGCAGATGATGGTTTGGATAAACTTAAGACGAGATATTATTATTATTATTATTATTATTATTATTATTATTATTATTATTATTATTATTGTTATTATTATTATTATTATTATTATTATTATTATTATTATTATTATTATTACAGTAGATATTAATTTCATTTCTTTATTTTGTATCTTTTTATTATTTTCGATTATTTCTAATTCCCTCCACCCGATTTTTATAGCATGTATTTGTACCTATTATATAAATGTATTTTTACATAAGTCTTTGTATTTTCGCAACTTTTAACATTAATTTCAACTCAGTGCAATTAAACTGACAGATTATTTCGGAAGAAAAGTATAAATTATTCGTATAAATGAGTAATTCTGCAAAGGAAAAAAAGAAAGAATCTCAAACAAGAAAGAGTTTAACAAAATCAATTAACCGAAAGAAAATCACAGACACGCAAGGTTTGAGGTTTCTGCATCCCGCATTCGTTTCATTTCCAAATCTGTAACTTTAAAGCCTCTTTTGTTTCCCCGAATTTCTGTTGTTTAATTAATGAATTAAACGGCAGTTTAGTCCCTATTTCAGTATTTATATTCGAAATGAAAAAAATGGGTAGACTTCTTCCTAATATCAACTGTTTTGAAAATGATGGTTTAATGATGTCACATTAAGCATAAATAAATACATTTTTCGATAATATAAGCTTGTGTTGTTCCGCAGACTCAGAATCTAATGTTTAACACACTCTGCCCAGATTTTCCAGACTAAAGAAAGACTTGGCAGCATAAATATCTGTAAACAGCGTCTGGTAAGCATCATTTTAGCCATGAGGGCCTATATATGTTTCTTGTTTGGGGAATAATGGAGAAAGGGAAAGAACGCGCATAACAAGCCCGCAGCCAATCAGAGGCCTCCGCGCCTCTGGGAACAGGAAGCCCAAAATGACCAGCGCTCTGTAGAAACCATTCATTATTTTTAAGCACGTTATTGGGGGGTTGTGATCGTAACCCCGAGGCTAATTATTAGGGCTGTTTCCAGACCTGTGGAGAAAAAAAAAAAGAAAAAGAAAGAACAAGCATGTCTGATTTCCAAACGTTTTACCACAACTGTCTAATCAAACAGTCAAACATCTGCCAGAGCATTAAGCGCTGCAGGCGTGCCTCCGCTTCACCTGTTGGACTTTCAGCTAATGAAAAGGTGTCCTGTTTCAAGCCTGTCCTGTGGGAATGCAATTAAAACATTTTCCAAGCTGTTTTTACTTAGGTAATGCCCCCACATAATATGGCAGAAAACTTTTTATTTTGCTAAAATGGCATCTAAAATAAAGCTTACAAAAGCAACAGTTGTTCTTTTAGGTCGGAGCTTCAATATGCAACCTGTAAAATTAAATTTCTTTTTAAGTTGACTATATTTCTTCTAATCTGGTCTTCTGCACAACATTAGGATTCGTGAAAAATATTTAACATCATTCTGGAAATTAATTAGAAAGTGGGATGTAATGGGTATGGATAAGGGCAAAGGAAATTGCTACTTTTCATTCTTGAATTTGAAAATCATGAAAGAATATATAAATCATCTGCCTGGCTGGCTGCATTAATTAACAAGCAGCTAGTAAAGTGTCACATGACTGGTTTTACAAGGTTGGAGTAGGTGTCAGCCAACATACACACAAACCTCTGGTCCTGTCACAAACCTGGAAATACACCAGAACCGCCAACCCATTACCAGCAAGAAACCCTGACAGGGATATCCTTGCATTCTGCTTCAAGCTGCAGAGGTTTGATTGATATTTCTAAAATTATTTTGCGCTTTCTTTGGTTATTGAACAAGACATTATTAGCAAAAACCCATGGCATTTTAAATATTTGCTTCTCTCCAGCCTTTATATGACAGTGTTTATCATTATGAAATAAATCATGCAATAACAATATGACCTTCGGAGACATGACTTTATTAGAGTATTAGGTTTGGAGAGTCTCTAGAACCATCTTTAATTTCTGGAAATAGGATCTTCTGTTTTTTTTTTTTCTCTTTGATTTATTTTGAGAAGTTAGAAACAAGCCAAAAAGGGAATGACAATAATAAATAGATTTCTAAACATAGAAATCATGTTTTCTTTGCCTATATCTTTTAAAACTGTTGTCAGGGTTTAAAATACTGATATAGTAATGAAAGTTAGTGATTTTTAAAATGCAAACATTCAAAGACCTAAATGGGGGTAGCTACTTTTGCATTGGCAATGTATGTCATTAAATAGTTGCAAATGTAAGAATGCAGTTAAAGAGATCTAGTAGGATATACTGCAAAGATGCATTTTCATGGGCATATCAGTCTGTTATTAAATTCAGCTTTTACTTTTAATACGTGACCCAAGCATCATATGTTTCATTAATTCAAACTTTATTTGTTGTTTTAGATCACACAGCTCAAGATTGAAAACAACCCATTTGCAAAGGGCTTCCGTGGAAGTGATGACATGGAGTTACACCGGATGTCCAGAATGCAAAGGTAGCTGAAGCTGAGATGATATTGAGTTCATTTTAGGAACAAGTTGCTTTAAAAATCCCAATTGATCCTCCATCTTTGATATGTGGAAATTCTTACTTATTCCGAATGACGTCAAACGAGCAGATAAATGTCACTTCAGTTTGGCAGGAATCATTCTGTGACTTAACAAGCCCCACTTTAAACCTTCAGTCAATGAAACCCAAGCCAGTAATGAGTGTAACTTTCAGTGAGTGTTATTTTCAGTGATGTAAGTGTAGTTCTGGATCGTCAGCCAGTTTTTATACTGAAGACTTTTTATGACTGATCTGGCAGAACCTCTAAAAAGAGACTGTAACATCTCTCTTCCACAGAGTTTTTTTTTTTCTTTTTACTGAACACCCTGACTGCCTTTGTCTGTAATGTGTGTATATGTGTGTATTTGTGTGCATGTTGTACTGGTGAGTATCACTCGGTCAGGCAGCCAAAGCGGTACGCGGCCATTTGCTCTCTATTATTCAGTCCAGATGAGGGATGGAGCTGGAGTCCGTGCTGTGTAGAGAAACACTTTTTCAAAGGAGAAAATCTGGTTCTGAAAAACCCCCATTGCCCTGATTTTGGAGAGCCGCAGGAGAAAATGAAGGGTTTTCCGAGTGGAGAAATCTCAAATTGGACAACGCTTGGAGAGCCGTTTGTGTTTTTCCAAAAGGTGTAATAATCCAACATCTGTCCATTTAAATGTTGAACTGAGCAACAGAATTCTGTAATAGATTTATTTATAATATCAACCAAACAAAATAGACACACATAAAGACAGGTAGTATTTTTTAAGTGGAAAAAATTGCACATAAAGTACTTTAAGTAGCTGTGCAAAAAAACCAAACCACACTATCAGTCTAACATGACTTTATTCAGCCTTTGTTTGCATTAAGTGCTGCCCGTCTGCTCCTGGTTACTCTCTTAAGGAGAGAGCTTTTTGGGATACCAGGTCATTTTTTCAGCTGACATTAGGCCAAAATTTAATGAACCAAAATCAGCGGAATGATCCATTGATGGATCCTGTGGATTATTTTTGTTAAACCCATGTCTATAACAGAAGGGCTTTCCTTATAGAATGTACGTTTGTTTCCAAGCTTGTGTATCATCCAGCGAATACCAATTAACAGGTGTCCTATATTTTTTTTAACTAAGCTAGACTGGCACAAACTGTAGAGCAGGGTCACTTGCAGATAATTGCTAACAGTTGTGTCTATGTGTGTACACATATGCAGCACCAAAGAGTACCCAGTAGTTCCTCGCAGCACAGTGCGACAGAGAGTTGGCTCCAGCCACAGTCCATTCAGCGGAGACGTCCAGAGCATGGCTACAACTGGCACCCTTAGCTCTGCATACTCCCAGTGTGAAAATGGGGTCACTAGCACCTCCCAGGACATGCTGCCCCAGTCTGGCTCCTACCCACTTCCACATGAGCACGGTCAGGAGTACTGCATCAAGAGAAAAGGTACAAGGCTGTTCGGCGATATGAGCCCAGCAGGGATTACATTAAATCCTTTAGGAGCTGAAAGAGCTTTTATTTATTGTGCTGCACTATGATACACAGATGAGATAATGAAATGTGACAGGCCAAGCTTTCCATAAAAATCCTGTCAGTTAAGGCCACTTTATGTACATTTAAAGGTCTAGAATTTAATCATGATGTCTTAATTAAATACAATTATGAGATTTAGAATAAAAAATTGTTAAAATGCATTATACCCTTTCAATTGTATGCAATGTTCCAATCTTTAGGTATTATTTCCAACATTTGATCCTAAAGTATCTCATAGTCAATGATACAAATGCAAGTTAGTCTTTGTATACTATTCTTTTTTCACTAATGCACTCAGTTGTAAGAGGTGTTCTATCAATATTTTTTTTATTATTTAGAAGTTCTGATCATTTTGCATCATGACTTAATATAATTTCTTTCTCATTTTAAAAAAAAATATTCAGGAGTCTTGTGATTTGTTTAAAAGCCGTTGTACAAAAACTAAACTAAACATCCAGCATGTTTTTAAGAAAAACTGCTCCAATTACTAAACTGCTTTTATATGCTTCTTCGAATTAATGTGAAGAAGTATTTGTGTTTCTTTGATTATTAGAATATCTTGTGTAACTTTAACATTAGTCAAGATATACCTGAATTTAAATTTAATGTAGACTGTTAGCTGACTGTTGACTGCTACAGATAATTAAGAATGTTTAAAGTAACAAAGAAGGATATTTGAAAATGCCAAGGAAGTGTAAGGCTATCTAATATAATATTCTTTAAAAAAAAAAAAAGGATGAATGAGAATTAAGCCTGGCATAGGAATTCACAATGACTAATTCTGTTCAGTGCAAATGTAAGGATAAAGTCACAATAAGTGATAAAGTGCTACATGGTATTTTTCTTATAGACTGTTTTTGTTTTTGTTTTGTTTTTATGAGTAAATCATCTATTTATTTATCAGTATTAGCGGAACATTTAGTTCTAAAGCTCTCTACTGTATTTGTTTTTTGCTATAGTAAAATATTGTGGATCATCATTATAATTCAGCAGTGGTTTTACCATGGAACTATGGAAGCCATGCAGTCTCTCTTTCTTCACAAATTATAAGCACTGACCTTAAATGAGGCAAGTAGGCATTCATGGCTTTAAAGATTCCTTTGGGTTCTTTTTCACCTCCTGTATGTTTTGCCAGTGCTCTTTTAGAATAATTTTGGTGAACAGACTTCCCCTATGATGGCTAACCACTGTTATATGTCTTTTCCAATTGTGGATAATGGCTCTCATTGTGGGTTGCTTAGTCATTTCTAACCTTTTCCAAGCTGATTAATGTCAGAGACTTTATCACTCATTTTTTGGTAAAATAGTTACTTTTTAAGTCAGTTTTTCACTAAATACATTCAATCATCATACCCAAATTGCATATTTTCTGGTAGATTATGTTACATTTGTTATAAAAAATTTTTAATGATCTGACAAATTTTTTGATAGAAAAGTAAAAACAGAATAACTTTTAAAGTTGCCAGTACTTTTCACTTATTTAGATTAGTCAAAGTACAAATAATACTCAAAAAATTTCCAGTGTACAGTAGGTTAATTCTTTACAAATGGAAGAGCAATTATGTATTTCATGTTTTATATTGGTTAACGTTTTTCTTGAGTAACAAGTTTGTTGCTTATTAAATTTGACTTACAGTGGATGATGACTGTCACTCAGGCGAGCACAGCTACAAAAAGCCCTACCTGGAGAGTTCTTCCAGTGAGGACGACCACTACTATCGGCCTGTTGGCTACCCTCAGAGCCTCAGTCTCACCGCTGGGCCCTACCGCAGCGAGTCCAGCCAGCGGCAGGCCTGTATGTATGCCAGCTCTTCGCAAGGCGCCGAACCTGTCCCCAGTTTGGAAGACATCAGCTGCAACACGTGGGCCAGCGTCTCTCCTTACGGCAGTTGTTCCGTCACCACAATGCAGCCGATGGAGAGGCTACCCTATCAACATTTTTCCGCTCACTTCACCTCAGGGTCTCTGGTGTCCAGACTAGGAGGAGTGGGGGGCCATGCTTCTCCACAGCTGGGGGAGGGCCATCACGCTGCTATGTACCAGAGCTCCATGACCCACCAGACTCTGGCCCGCCAATGCAGTCCCGGAGCTGGCATCCAGTCACCGACAGCTGGTTTACAGGGAAACGAGTACCTCTATACGCATGGCATACCACGCACACTATCGCCACACCAGTACCACTCTGTACATAGTGTCAGCATCATGCCAGAGTGGAGTGAGAACAGCTAAGAATCAAACAATTGCATGAATTGAAGAAGAAAGAAAAGGACCAAAAAAAGAAAAAAACTGTGTCGGTTATATTTATATTTCCAAGGACATGTTGCTGTTAATCTTAATAAGAACCAGATTTCTTTATTGAGAAAACTTGACATTCTTTAGGTGGTTTACCAGGAGAGGTGGAACCTGATCATTTAGGAACTTGTCACAGGATCTGCACTTATAAAAAAGCAACAAGAACACAAATGGACATCGGGCTGAAGCAGGACCCTCATGAAGCCTGCTCTGGTGCAGAGACACTAGAGCTGACATTGAACAGAACAGGAATGCTTCAGATAGTTGGAAAGGAGATCCCAGGGTAAATGTGTTTTTCTGCAGCATTCTGTATAGGAAGCCAGTAAACAGCATTTATATTTCCTGAATGTTTATCCTCTGTCACATTTGCTCAGGTTCTCAGTTTCTTTGACAATTTTGTCGCAAAATTAAATTGTAAAAAAAATGCTGAATTAGAAAAACAAAAAACAAAGCCTTAAGTTGGTTTTGTTGTGGCTCTTTAAATTTTGAAAGTGGATGTACACACATTTAGATGAAATACCTCAGAACAATTTTATTATGTTTAGAGAAGAAACAGCTTGTAAGGATGTTGATACCTCTTAAACATTTTCACATTTAATCATGTGACTTCATATATTTTTGGGAATCTGATTAAATAAACCAACAAAGTTTAGAGCATAACTGGGGAAGTGGAGTGAAAATGACACATGGTTCTCAAATTTCTTTTCATGTACAAATCTAAAGGGTGGGATATTTGCCTCGATTCAGCCTCTCTGGGTTTTCTATGCAAATACAGCTCCAACTGTATGTGATATAACTGTACTAGCTTTACTAAACTAGAGATTGAATTTGTTTACTTAAATCCTAATCAGATTAGAAAACTTAATTTTAAAATCTGTTGCAGATGCTCAGTCTTATTTATGTTTTGACACCATCTACATTTTTCTAAAATGTCTGTATGCTTTAATTTAAGAAATTAAATCAAGCTCTGGGTGCTGGAAGTTTAGCTCCATCCCACTCTCATGTTTCTCATGGCCTATGTAGTAATTTCTAGCCAAAACCTTCAAGTGTAAATCACCAGAAGGTCTTTTTTTTTTCTTGAGTTGATTTCAGCATTTTTCATCTTTACCTGTTCAGCAATAAAGTAAACATACACAATTTAAACAAAAGCAATTACATTTGTTGTAGATACCTTTTCTATTATTGCAATTTCAGCAACAGGGTCATTTTTGTTTTAGTTTGTCAGTGAACAATTCAAGAATACAGTAGTACAATGGCAGGGCACCATCATTTTTACAATCAATGCCAGAAATACTGAATGGAAGCCTAATGAAATCATCTGATGTCATTTTCTCGGGATGTCTTATCAGATCTGTTGATCTTAGTTTTTGGATTCTTATCCAACAATGTTAGGAAGAAGGTTTGTAATTTTTTCAACCACATGCAGAGTCACACAGATAACAAGTCAATCTTAACGTTTTATTTGCAAAGGCAACAAGAATCTGCAGGAAGTCAGTTGAAATTTCTTGCTGGTCTTAGGGGAGAACTGCAGGAAGAGAAGTGAAAAACAGGATAAATCTTTAAGTGATCAGGCAGCTTGAGGTGAACCGCAGAGCGACTGAGCAATGCCTGGATTTCAAATGAGAGTTTGCGATTAGAAGCCTTTAGGTTAATGCCACAAGTTGATATCCAAACCTTTTTTCCTGGTCAGTAATGTGGAGCAGGAATCTTGCCATTGGCCAGACATACATTTGTTACCACCAGTTCAAGGCAGAAACTGGCAGGTTTCAAACATGACTGCAGTGCCTAATGTGCCGTTTGACAGAGGTAACTGACATGTCCTGCTTGTCGGGTGGAAACAGGGGAGGTTGGTATCCTAGAAAGAACAAATGGAGGCAGACCAGTAGAAGTGGAAGTGTGACAATTATGTCCATATTTGGCACAAGGCATAATGATCGGTGTGACGAACAGAAGTAGCAGAGGGATGCCTTAAGCTTCTGGTTCATGCGTTCAATTGATCATTTCTTTGGGGATGAAAACCTGAACTGAGAGCATTCTTGACCCCAAAGATGTCCTTCCAGACCCAGGAGAAAAATTGCGGATCCCTGTCCAACAGGATTTCACAAGGCACTCTGTCTCAAGAGAGGATTGAGTCGACGAAGAGAAGTGAACTGGCAGGCTTTGGACTGGCGGCCAATCATAGATGAGGAAGTAAAACCCTTAGATGGCAACAGTACAGCTACAAAATCCAGGGGGTTATGTAACCAAGGATGTTTAGGGATAGATAATGGTTGAAGAAGACCACTAGGACTCTAGTTACTGGCTTTGTTGTGGACCCACACTGGACAGACTAGAACATAACTTTTAACATCCTTATTTATATTGTAGGCCACCAAAAATGTAATTTACGGAGTTTGAGAGTTGATTCCAGGATGGCAGCAGAACTTAATGTGTTGGCCCAGTGAATGAGGTGGGACCTAATGGAAGCATGGAAAGCAGCCTCCAGGACTTGATCCTTTATTTCCCAATAAGGCCCCCACAATGGAGGAAGGTCTTCATATGTCTGCTCTCAAGAATATGTCCCAAAAAGATGATTGATGTGACATGACCTTACAACTCTCATCTCTGACGAAGAGTTGGCTCATTAGAAGAGGTTGGAGGATCTTATGTTCAGAAAAGGTTTTGGGGAAATTAATAATGTCATAAAAGTATTCAACTATAAACTGATTTAAAAAATCTCTAAGGACATCATTCACAAGGGACCTGAAAACTGAAGGTGCATTTATGAAACCGAGAGGCATTACCAAATATTGAAAATGACCTGGAGGGTCGTTGAATCCAATCGTCCATTCCGCTCCTTCTCTGATTCTGACCAGGTGTAGGCATTTCGGAGATCACACATGGTGACGAAATTTCAGATATGAACCGGTTCAAAGGCTGCTGAGAGAGGTGCAAGTAGATATCTATTCTTTACAGAAATCTGGTTAAAGCCCGTGTAATAAATGTTTGTGATCCATCCTTTTTGCCGACAAAGAAAAAAAGGTTAGGGTGAAGAGAACAGGAAAACAAATATTTCTTGATTTTGATTGCCTGACACTTTATAGCTGATTGGAACAAATTAGGTGATCACTCACCGCGATACAGGCAGAGTTCAGTTTTCATTCTACGTTGTCGCTCCTCATCTTCATCGGTTCTTCTGGCTGTGGCCTGATAGAGTCAGAAGTTAGTGAACGATCTGGAACATGAGATTGGGAAAGATGTAAATTATTCCATTGCTGTCCCTGAGTTATCCCACGAAATTTGTTGTCGGTGCGAGTAGCCAGGGAGTTTAGTTCTTCAACAGTTTTAAACTCATTTCTGCAAGCTAGTTCATCCTTAATTATTTAATCAAAGGCTCGAAGAAAAGCTTCCTTTAACGCTTCAGGTTTCCAGGCTGAGGAGCCTGCTAGAGTCTGAAACTCAATACCAAAATGTTTTAAATAATATTTAAGAATATATACATATATCCTTACTGCTAAAATAGGATGATTTTATACGTTGATAAATAAAGAGTTTAAAGAAATATGAATACATTAATGAACTTCTGGTTTTCACTTCTGGCATTGATTGTAGAAATCAGAGGAGCCAAACTTGCATCACTTTTTACACAATTGCCCAACATGGGTTTATCATCAGGCGGGCCCAACACACAATTGCCCAACATGGGTTTATCATCAGGCGGGCTTCACCTAAATCAAAGTTTTCCTATAGGCAATGCAACTCTACATGGCTTCTGCAAACTGCCAACAGGACTTTTATAGCTTTCTTTCAACAATGGCTTTCTTTTTACAACTCTTCGATAAAGCCCAGATTTGAAGATTCTACGTGTCTAAGGACTCTCAGATTCTCCAAAATAGGCAGTGTATCTATTTAGCTTCCCCGGAGTAGGTGGACGGCCATGTTTTGGTGGGTTTGCAGTTTTGCATACTCTTGATGATAAATTCACCAGCGCTCTGGAAGCTGTTCAAAGCTTGGAATATTGTTTTATCAGACAGCTCTGCTCTAAAAAGTTGTCTGCTATGTTTAGGATTTTGTTCAGGTTAGTTGTGTAAATTACACAAGTTGTATTTGCAAATAAAACCATGTATCTTTTTTTCTCCCTCCCCACAAATATTTTCTACATTATTCTTAATTAACTACAGAAAATACCAAATTAAATAACTAACGTTTGGTTTTGTAACAGACCAAAATGTGAAAAAGTCAAGGGGTTTTAATAATTTTACAAAGCACTCTACAAATCGGAAGAAGGGGCCCCTACACTGTTGAGTAGTCAATTTGAAATGACTCCTCCCCTGTTTTGCAGAGGACATTCATGCCTACAAATTATAAAAGATAATTTTATGCCATGCCTTCGCCAAATACATTTTGGAAAACACTATATGATGGCACCTCTATATATTTTTTTTGTATAATATGTGAAACTAGATTAGATTTTTCTTTAGGAAAAATTCTTTTTAATCAAAGTTCCTTTTTGTTGCTCTAGTATTTTTTCCAAAGTTCATTCATTGTAAGATTGTTCTTGGATAGATGAAACCTAAGCATCTTCATGTTAAACCAAGAGCCTTTTTAAACAATCACCATTTATTCCATAAAAATCTAAAACTGTTAGAGCTAAACATTCTCAACCAATAATGTTTGATAGAATATCAGATCTTTTTATTGAGTTTCTATTAAGAAGACATAAGCAGTTAATAGATCACCTACGGTAGGTAACTTTTTATCAATTTAGTATAAATCAAGTTTACTTATCCTCCCTGCTCAAAGTAAGAGCTACTCTGAGCAGGGAGACCTATGCTGACTGAATTTCTAAAAAACATAATTCAATATTAGGAATGTCTTAAGTGTTAGTGTTAAACACAAGTCCTCGATGGTCAGTGTCCTGCTGCTTTTAGATATATCCAAAGTCCAACACAGCTGAATCAAACAACTGAATTTCCTCCTCAGCATATAGCCCAACTACCTGCAGTCCTTCTAAAGATCTAATGATTTAATTTAGGTGTGTTAAAATAGAGTCATATTAAAGGGTGTAGGACACAGGCCCTCTAGTACTGTTTGACATCTCTGCCTTAAAGGTTTTAGAGGAGTATAAATATTGTATGATTGTGTCAAATTTTCTTTCGCAGGAAAGATATAAACTATTTATGTACTTTTATCAGAACCTTACTATAAGGTTTTTAAACTATCCCCTAAAAAATTGTTATTAATAAATGTTTTGATAAATATAAAATGGATTTAGACTCCACGCTGTCATATTTTCAAAGATAGTGAAAGATAGAATGCTGAAGGTTTGAACTGCATCAAATTGTTACCCTTTCAATGATAGATGGTAATAAGTCAGGTATTACCAATTAATACTTGCAGTTAAATACTACCTTATCAAAGATATGCAGAAAAAGATTGCCTAAGCTTGACCAGTGACCAGGAAGTCAAACAGCTTTGCATACATGTTTTTCAGTGTGTTAATTGTCATTACACAAACAAGACTGAAATATACTGCAGCTTTATATTAATACCGGTAAAAAGTTTAAGATGAAATTAAGAAAATCACAAATATCTAATAAGGTATCTGAAAGGAAACCTCTATGATATTGAAATCATTTAAGCTGCAAGTAAACAAGACTTTTAGCAGAAATAAGAAAGGGAGAAATAGTTACATTAAAGGTGATTAAATCAAATATCGATAGAATATAAAATGCAAATTTCAAAAATGTTGTTCCTTATGGATGAAGTTGCCTTTTGAGTCAACTGAATCTTTGGAAACTAACCCTACATTTTTAATTTTACATGAGCTTTCACACTTTGAGATTTTTTCATTCAATTTTATTAAAAAAAATAAATCACATCAGACTTTTCAAATGTTAGCTTCTAAAAAGCCTTCCCATTGGATAAAGTAAGATATAAAGACCTTTATTAAACGGTTATGACAGTGCTATTGAAATATTTGTAATAAGCTGGCAGTAAATACACAACTATTGAGGAACTAGTGTCCCTCTGGATCATTTAGATTTTGTTTGACATTTGCATGTGATGACCAAAAAGAAGCCATGTTATTTTTCTCAAAAAAAAAAGTCTAAATATATTGGAAGATAAATCTTTATTGCATGCCTGGATATTGTATGTTTATACAGCCTTGT